GCCCAGGCCCAGAGTTCAGGCCCCATGACTGGCAAAACAAACAAGCAAATAAAAACAAACAAAAAATATAGTACAAATTTTAGATGGTAGCAGCAGAGCACCAGAGCTATGTCCAGGTCCCATACCAGGCAGCTACTGTCATTTACCTCTTTCTGAAGAGTCCTGCTTCTCTCCTGCAGTCACCATACCTTTCCCTGTGCTTTATGACCCACCTGAAGCCACAGCCCTGGTATTGGCACTTAGGGCTGGGCACAGGCAAGCTCACAGCCACTGTGCCAAAAGAGAATGGGAGTCAGGAGTGGGAACAGAAGACTGGGGGCAGGGTGGAAGATGGGAAGTGGGGGGAAGCTGCGGAGCCAGTGCTCTGAGAAGCTGCCTGGCCCCTGAGTGGGATGGAACAGACTTTGTGATGAGTGAGAATGACAATCACTCTGCCAGCAATCACAGCTGTCACTTACCCAGTGCCCTTCCATGCACCCTGAGCTTTAAATGCCCATCTCTCTGGAACACAGGTAAGTCTTTATTATTGCCATCAACCCCATTGCAAATGCTGGAGCAGCCCTGTGCATGCTCACAGCCAGCTAGCCCCAGAAGCAAGGCTTGAAGCTGGGTGTGTCCCTTGTTCTAGAGAGGTCCACTTTAGTAGCAGAGAGGTCCCATTGATTATGCAGAACTCCTTGTGCTTTTGTGGGGTCAGAGACAACAACAACCAGGGAGTCGGGGAGGGAACTTCCCCTGAGATTGAGGCAAGGTTGACTTTTTCAGATGACCCTGGCTGTGGTTCACGTTTGATTGCTTGGGTTCCAAGAGCATGAAGTGGGACAGGATCTCCCACAGCCTGCAGGCTGGGGATGCCTGGCAGACTCAGAACCAGGAGCCAAGCCCTGCGGCCTGAAAACTGATGGAAGAGCTACATTTGAAGTCTTCCCTCAGAGCTCATGGAGAGGATTGAAGCTGGCCTCCACTGGAGCCAGCCCAGGGCAATGACATCACTCCACCTCCTTTCCCTTTGGTGTCAGTGGTGTTTCCTGTCTGTGGGGGAAAGGGGAGGGACACACAGCACTGAGGCGAGCAGGAGACCAAGAAGAGAGTTATTTGGATCCAGGGGTGGTGAAGGTTAGGAACTCTCTCATATACTTCTAGAAGGGTTAGAAAAGGAGAAACCAGGCAGACAAGGAGCTCCAGGGGTCAGTGGGTGGGGTCCTTACATGGAGGGAGGTATCAGGTGAGGCTCATGGGAGGGAGGTAGCTAGGGCACTGTCCCCTCACTGTCCTCTGGAACACAGGGAAGAAATGGAGACCCCAGGCAGGGCCTGGCACAGTTACTGCCCTGGGACTCAGGTTCTGTGCTGCCAGATGAGGGGCAGAACTCTAAAGGTCGTGTCCCTGCCCCCTTCCTTACTCCCCAGTGGTGCTCTGAGGGCCAGCATGACCAGCTGACATTTCTGATGTGTTCCTAGCAGGCTCTGAGCTAAGTGTCCTCCTGAACCAGTTAATTCAATTTTGATGACAGTCCTGCCAGGTAGGATTCCAGTAGGGTACCTCCCTGGGGCCACAGAGGTAGAAACTAAGGCCCAGGCTTGCCACGGTGGTAGACCTGAGCTTGCCCTTGGCTAACAGAGTGAAGGGCAATCAGACAGGGACCCTGGGACGTTGCTTATCCATGCCTGGCAGGGTGTCTCCCACCCAGGGGAAAACTTCCACTGTTCTAGCCTTAGACATATAGGTTCACCTGACTGCCAGGAGGGTCCAGCATGGCACAGGGTCAGTGCCAGTCCCCTACAGAGTCCTTCCTAGCTTCTGTCTTCACCATAGCCCAACACGGTCTAACCTAGGGCCTCCCAGTGAGTTCATGGTCAAGATCAGGGGCCTTTGGGTAAATTCCAGCCATCTGCCAGCCCTGGAAAAGGGGCCCAGGAGAGTTAGTTAACCTAGCTGAGACTCAGTTTCCTCACCTGCACAGTGAGAACATGCTAGTACCTTCCTAAGAAGTAAAAAATGTGGCATGTAAGGTGGGTTGTTACAGTAAATGCAGGACAAGTATGCCAGTCCTGTGAGGTTGTCCTAGCCATCTCTTGCCCCCCTTGTATAAGCATTCCGGACATGAGGTCTCAAGACAGTCAAAGGCACATTTCAATCTGCCTTCCTTGCTTTACTGTGGGGTGCAGAGAAGAGAACTAGTCATGCAGGACTGACCAAGCAAGCAACCAGAGTTGGGCTCTAGGTCCTCCTCTTTCCTCTCTCCCAGTGGCAACTCATGCTGGAATAACAGAGGGCTGAAGAGGCCTCCAGACTTAGGCTGGGGGTGGTCTTGGGAGCAGGGAAATGAGTCTGGTGCCTCCAGCCCAACTGGGATTCCCAGGCTGGCAACCATAGCCAGTTTTTCCTAGCCACTGTCATAATACCCAGGTCCCCCATGACAGGTGACCAGCCACAGAGGCAGGGCTGTGCCGGGGGTGTTGGGAAGGCCCCTTGAAGAAGGCTCTGCTCAGCCTTTACTGCAAATTAAAATACCTTCATTTTCGTCATAATTTTTTTTTCTGACACAACTGCCCATGAAACATTTAAATAACATCACAGAAAAGGTCAGGGAGGAGAAATTTCACAGTCCCTGAGCAGGCAGCGTCAACTCCAGCCCCTCTCTTGCAGCAAAGGTAGCTGAAACATGGAGCTGACCTGGGTCTAAGCAGAGGAAGGCTGAGATGGAGGAGGGGAATCTTGGGGGCCAGGACCTGGGGGTCAGGACAAGGCTGGAGCTCAGGTGGTGCTAGAGGCCAGGGGTGGGGCCAGGATATGGCCAGGATAAAAGCCACCTGCCAGGAGCTCTGGCTGCATCTAGGGGAGGTGGGCAGGTATGACCGTGGGGTGGAAGGTGTGCAGGGATGTGGTTGTATTCTCTACAGCAACTCAGGGAGTCATTTTTTAAATGAGGAAAATGAAAGGAAAGCTGGGAGCACAGAGTGAAGGAAGGACATGGCACACACAGTGCCCACCAGAACTTGTCACAGCACCCCCTTGCACCTTCAAGGTCCTATGAACCTGGCACTGGGGGATAGCAGAGAAGTAGCAGAGCCTGGGTGAAGGAGGTCTGCAACTAGAGGCTGGCAGGATCTGGCAGTTCCAGAGGAGGCTAAGCTTGTTTAGATGCGCTGGAAGGATACAGGGCCAGAGTAAACAGGACTAGTGTCAGGGCCAGGCAGGTCCCCCCACCAGCTAAGGATAAAACCCTGCATGAGGGGCTCCACTCAGCTTGCTCCTCAGTGCCAGCCCTGTACTGGTGTCTTTGTTCATACTTCAACCTCACCCTGCTCTGCAAATGTCCCTGGCCCTTCTCCCTACAATAAGAACCAGACTGTAGAGTGAGAACCCCACACAGGAATTCTTTGCTACACAGTCCCTGGCCTCCAGGGACCTTCCATCCTCTGCTAGACTTATGAGGCTGGGGCTGTCTGGATGGCCTTCCTCCTAACATTCCAGTGCCGGATTGTGTATGCTCCCTGAGTGTCTGCCATGCGCCCTCTGCTGGGCCCAGGGAAGTGGGAGGAGGGTCCCTGGGCTTCAGGCAGCAGGTGATTGATATATTGCTGGGGCACCTTGGAGAAGGCTGGGGGAGCTCCTGGGCTAGGAAGCAGGGGGTGGAAAGAACAGACGCAGCCAACTCACTGTTTACATCTGACGGCCTGACTAGCTAAACATCTGTTTGAAATATTAATAACTGTCAAACGAGAAGGGCCTGGGGGCACAGCACAGTGCCACACCATCTGTCTGTAAGAGTAAACACACTTCGGAGTGGGGGGACCCAGTATGGCAGGCAATGTCAGCTTGGAGGCAGAAATGAGGGTAGCAAGGACTCTGTGGGCCTCCTGTGGATAAGGAGAGGCTCTGGTGAGTTAAATTCCTCAAAGATTTATTGAGCAACTTCTACATGAGCTCAGCATCTAACTCAAATTTCATAATACACGCTCCTTCTCTATTTTCAGCCTGACTGCCAACTCCTGGCTTCCCCAACACCAGAATCATGATGGCTAGTTCTAGAATGATGAAATAAGCAGAGACTCAGTTCTGGGACATTGGCTGGACTATTGAAAGGGAACTCCCCACCCCACCACACTAGGGTTGATCAACTGGCAAAAAGTAAGCTTGGATGTGTTAGTGTTCCTCTTAGCCTCTACAGAAAGCAGTCAGGTGCTAGAGACCAATCCTGTTGAACTGAGTACCTGGATGCAAACATGCCTGAAATCCTTTATGCTCTTGTTGCATGAGTTTTTTGTTTGTTTGTTTGTTTTTTATTTTGGTCAGTCGTGGGGCCTGAACTCTGGCCTGGGCATTGTCCCTCAGCTCTTCAGCTCAAGGCTAGTGCTCTACCACTTTGAGCCACACTGCCACTTCAGGCTTTTTCTGCTTATGTGGTGCTGAGGAATCGAACCTAGGGCCTCATGCATGCAAGGCAAGCACTCTACCACTGAGCCACTTTCCTAGCCCAGCCTCCTTCTTTGTGTGTGTGTGTGTGGGGGGGAGGGTTTGAACCCCTTCATGATTTCTATATCTCCCATACAAGAGTACTAACTGATATAAAGGGGCACTGATAGGGTCCCCTTGCTAAAGAACAAGTTCCAGCCAAACAAAGCTAAGGCTGCCTAAATAACTTCAGGGAACCTGCAGTGCTTAGTTAGTAAGGACTGCCCTCATCAGAAATGCCACCTTACCTAACCATTAGAGTTGGAGTACCTGGCCCACCCAGAACCAGTCCCTGTCAGATATAAGGAAGAAAAATCAAAGTGTCTGGGGTCCAATCCTATAATCCTTCAGGTAGGCTCTTTTTCCACACTGCAGCCCCAGCCAGGGAGCCTCATCCTGGAGAGTCCAGACACTTCAGCATCCCAACAAACACTATCTCTAGGTACATGGAACACATCCCCAACTGCTCAGCAGTTGAGAATTCTTCTGCCTGAATGGGTCTTTCTTGTGAGCTTAGTGGCCCCAAGGACATACAGACTCACCAGGACTGTGAGCACTGAGGTCCCCACGGTGACATTCTCATACAGGCTGATGTTGTACAGTGGCTGGCTGAAGATGGGCCGGTTGTCATTCTCATTGATGAGGGTGATCTTCACCTTGGCGTAGCCCACATGGTCCAGCACGCTCTCATTGGCAAAGAGCTGGAGGAGCAGAGCAGGGGCTGGGTGAGTTCGCCTCTCCCCTTTTCCCCCCACCCTGAAAGACCTCCTTGCTCCTTGGTTAGTCTCAACTATGGCAACGCCTGTTGAAGCCACTTCCAGAAATATGCTGTGAATGCATCTATCCTTGGTGCACGGGGCCAGGGGTGGCTACTGCTTCTGCTCTGGAGGGAAGGGCAGTGGGGATAGGGCTGAAAGCCACAAGGGCCTGTGCATGGGTGTGCATGTGTGTGCGCATGTGCGCGTGCACATGAGCCAATATTGGGACTTGAACTTGGGGTCAAGCACTGTCCCTTAGCTTTTTCACTCAAGGCTAGTGCTCTACCACTTGAGCTATAGATCCATTTCCAGCTTTTTGGCAGTACATTAGAGATAAGGAACCTCATGAACTTTCTTGCCATGGCTGGCTTTGAACTGCGATCCTCAGCTCTCAGCCTCCTGAATAGCTAGGAGTACAGGCTCAGCTGATAAGGTTCTTAAGGGGAGATTCTAAGGCTACACTGGGCCTACTGAGACTGCCCCCAACTCCCAGACATATCCTTAGTCTCCTGTCTCTCAGTGGCTTCTCTGGGAGGCAGGACTTGAAGGGTGGTGCTCTGCCCCTCTCCCTGTGTCCCCTGAACCCCCACAGCCCAGTGAGGGGAGGGGTGCCATGAAAAAGGCTTACATCGAAGTCGTAGCGGTCCACGGTCTCGTAGTCCAGGGGGATGGCCACACGCATGCGAATGTCTGCTTTCCCTTGCACGGAGGTGGGAGAGATGATGAAGTGGTGGGAATTGTTGCCCACCAGGTACACCTCAAACATGCTGTTCAGACCCTGGGGCGAGGATGGAGAAGCCAGTCAGAAAGTATGCAGCAAGCTGGGGCCATGGGGGCCGTGTGGATGGAGGAGCAGAGGGCACTGGAGGGAAAGGCAGTGGGACTGCCTTATGGGGGCATGGAGGAGGAGTACTGGAGGCTGGAGAGGATGTGCCTGCCCCCTTGGTGAGGCCCTGGTTGAGCTGAAGAGATGCTGGCCTGGCTTCCAGTCCTTGCCTCCTGCCTGTGCCTAGGCCTTGGGGACTTTCTTCTAGTTCTTTCTGCCACAGTGTCCTTCCCATGTTTGTCTGTGTCCTTCTTTAGCTTCAGGGACTGAAGCTGGGGAGAGGGACCTGACAGCACAACACTCAAGGGACATGGGGGGAGAATGGGGAGAGGTAGGGAGTAGGAGGAGGAGAAAGCAATTAAGTAGGCTGGGATGGGGGAACAGGAGGTGAACAGGAGGTGACATCTCTCTCTCTGGACTTGTCAGTCAGGAAGAACATGGCTTTGCTTACATGTGACAGAAGACAGGGTAGCACAGCCCAGGAGGACAATGGATTCTGGCTCAGTCAGCATGGCCATGTCCATATGAGCTCTGCTGCTCCCAGTGGGTTGCTTTGGGGCTCCAGAGCCACCTCCTTCTAGCTCAGTGATTCTGATGGCTCTGCCCAAGCTACAGCCCACAAAACCCTCAGAAGCCACCTGACTCTGGCCACACAAAGCAGAGTGTGGATCACTCCTGTTTCTGAAGACCCCAGCTCAGAGCCAGTAAGCAGGGCTGTTGATGCTTACAGTCTAGCGTGCTTGCAAAGTGTTGGTTCCTTTCCTGTCTTGTGGGGAGATCACCCACAGATACCCTTCCAACAAGGTGGGACCTGAGGGGGGGTTCCCAGTCAGGACCTTCCTCCTGGCCATTGCTATGGATGCCTAGTGGGCACCAGTCCAGGCCTCATTACCTGATGGGGGATATAATCCACCTGCTCAGTGCCTGGATAGGGTGATGCTGCATTTTTGCTGTGGAATACATAGCCACAATGTAGGCATAGCCTCTTCCTGGCTGTCCAGGGGAGGTTAGGGATCAGGGAGCTGGGGGCTCCCATCTGGAAGCTGTTCCTGGTGAGAGTGGGCAGAGGGGTTGCCCTGACCCTAGAAGTCTTTAAATGTGGGGCTTCCCCCACGTGCGGACTATAGGAAAAACTTCTCTGGTCTTGTCAGGCTGTGGGGGTTTCAGTTCTCTCTGGTGTGAGGGTCCATCCTGTCAGATGGAGGGAATCAATTAAATGCCCGAAGGGACACTAATAGCCAAAGGCAGTGGAGTGTATCAACTCTGAACAGGCAACACTGTGCCTCTCTCCCCCCACAGAACCGGGAGGCTTGGGAAGGTGGATGTCTGAGCTGCGCCAACTAGGACCGAGAAATGCCCCCTGCCAAGCCTCCTCTCCACATTGCCCAGCACACCTCCACTCCCAGACCCCCGGATTGTCAAGGCTCACTTACCAAGTTCTGTCAGTGGGAGTCAGTCAGCCAGAGAAGATGGAGACAAGGAAGAGGGAGCCGGAGAGAAGGAGCCAGACGGGTGTGGAGGAGAAAGGAAGCAAAGAGAAAAGGTGGTGAACCTTAGGTCAGGATAGCGAGAGGGCTGAGGAGGACCCTAGAACCTCACCCTGCACTAGAGAAGCAGCTCCATGGGGCCTCAGTGGACCCAGCTTCGGGGGTCCTGGGGCTTAGAGGACAGGAGGGCTGAGCATGGGAGCAGGGGTCCAAGGAAATGCGAGGAGGTCCAACAAGGGTAGGCTCTCCCTACTCTCCCCCTCTCATTGCACAAGTTTAACAGGCAAGTGAGCCTGGATACAGCCCAGCAGAACTGTCATGTTTTCCTCTTTTGCTTTTTCCCTCCTTTCTTTCTTTTATTTTTACCAGTCTTGGGGCTTGAACTCAGGGCCTGAGCTTTTGTGCTCAAGGCTAGTGCTCTACCACTTAAGCCAAAGCTCCACTTCTGGCTTTTTGTGGTTAATTAGAAATAAGAATCCCATGGATTTTCTTGCTTGGGCTGGCTTCAAACCACAATCCTCAGATTTCAGCCTCCTGCATTACTAGGATTACAGGTGTGAGCCACAAGTGCCCTGCTTTTTTCTTTGCTTTTCTTTTTCTTCTTGGTACTGGGATGTGAACTCAGGGCTTCACATTTACTAGACAGGTGCTTTTCTACTTAAGCAAACTTCTGGCTTTTTATGCTCTGGTATTTCTTGAGATAGGATCTTGCTTTTCTCTGCCTGGGCTAGCCTGAACCTTGATCCTCCCATTTATGCTTCCTGCTATAGTTGTGGTTGCAGGCCCAGCCTTTTCTGTTGAGATGCAGTCTCATGAACTTTATGCCCAGACTAGCCTCTAACTAAAATCTTCCAACCTTAGCTTTCTAAGGAGATAGCTATCTGTATAAGCCGTAAGTGCCCAGCTATGTTTTAATTTTCTTAACATTAAAAATGTCAGAGATGTGATAAGCAGACACAGGAATAATCTTTCAATAGTTCAAATGTACAAAGCGCAAGCCAGTTGCTGGTGGCTCATGCCTGTCATTCCAGTTATTTGGGAATCTGAAATTGGGAGGATTATAGTTTTAGGCAGACAGAGGAGAAAGTTGATGACACCTCCTCTTCAACCAATAGCAGGGTGCTGTGGTATGTACCTGCCATCACAGCTATCATGGAAGTGAAACAGAGGTAGTTTATAGTCCAGACCTGTATCTAAGTAGGAAGTGAGAACCTATCTCAAAAATAACCGGGGCCCTATGTGTTGCTGTCCTGAGGACCTCCCCACCTCTGGCCCCCACCCTCCTGGATCACTTTCTGAGCAGCCCCCTCACATACTCAGCCTGCTGCTATACAACCTGACCAGAGGACTGGCTCCTGCTTGAGCATGGCTTGTGGCTGCCAGCCCTTGTTATAGAGGTGTGCATGACAGATATATCCTGTTAGGTAAATGGGTGCAAATCCCCTTAACCACAGTCCTGGCTAGGGATTCTCATCCCAACAACTTTGTGTGCCAAAGTCACCAGACTTCATCATGGCCCAATGGCATCAACACACAATCTAGCCTTTTTACAGAAAAGACACAGAAGCCACCACCTAACCATTCAAGCTACCCAGCTGCCAGGGCAGCATTCACATGTGGGCCCATCCTGCCTTTTCCAGAATCTGCACACACATTTCGCACACTCTGTGTCTGCACATATGTGCATGCACACACACCAATACTAGGGCTTAAACTCAGGACCTGTGTGCTGTCCCTCAGCTTTTTCACTCAAGGCTGGCACTCTACCACTTGAGCTACAGCTTTACTTTCTGGCTTTTTGGCTGGTTAATTGGAGACAAAGGTCTCACAGACTTTCTTGCTCAGCCTGGTTTTGAACCTCCCACTTTGATCTGTGACACAGGGTCAGGCTATACAGCCTAGGCTGCCCTCAAACTCCATCTTCCCTTAGCAGCTTCCTGAGTGCTGGGATCACAGGCATGTGCTACTCTGCCCTACCTGGTCTGAGCTCTTAACCCTGGGCCTCCAGCCCTCTCATTGCAGTGCCTTGCCCAGAACTGGCACAGAGATTACTGTGTACCACCTGTGTGTACCTGTGTCCAGGTCACAAGCAAGGGGCAAGCTCTGAGTTGTGAGAGGCAAGAGTGGGTCATGGAAGGTGCCCTTTCCCACGGGGTGGGGAGGCTGTTGTGGCAGGGTGGAAAGGAGGTGTGGGAGAGGCGGGAGGCTCTCTGGGAGCTGTGGAGGGGCGATTTTGTTGGAAAGGGAGATAAGGAGGACATCAAAAGGAGCCCCAGTGTGTGTTGGAGAGGAGGCGGCTGGATTAAATTCTCCTCCAGCTGGGAGAGACGATGAGAAGGCAGATTGGTGGCAGCCTCAGGTCTCCAAGCCGAGGCAGGAGCTGCGGTGGGCTGGGGAGCCGCCAGCTGCTTGCAGGGAGACCTGGACTGGCTCAGCTTTATTTATTTATTGGGAGGGGGTCGTAATACGAAATCACTGCTGGATCCCTGCAATCCAGCCTCATTGCTGCTGGTGACTGCAGCCTTCCAGCCCCCTGCAGAGGGCAGAGCCTTATCAGCCAGCTGCCAGAAGGGGCTGCCTTCCCCTCCCAAACCTTGCCCCCACCCATCTGGGTCCTAGAAGTGGAGGGCATCCCTCCTCAGCCCTGGAGGGGCCTTTTCCGGTCCTGGACAAAGGGTAAGGCTGGCCTGATCTCCTCTCTGAGCTTGGCTGCCCTAGTGGCCACCTGATGGTTCTTCCCTCTGCAGATGACCAAAGGGAGGGAGGCTGGTCATGCCCTCCAGACTCCCTGTCTTCATCAGAGGCACCTCTGTCCCTCTGTCTCTTAAACTCTCTCCCCACTCCAAACACATATGGTCCTGCTGTGTGGCAAAGCCGTGGTGACCTGTTTAGCCTCTTCCCAGCTACATGCAGTAGGCAAGTCCATTCCACTCCTGGCTCAGTTTCTCCATCTGTGAGAGGGGAGAAGCAAGGCCCTGTCTTCTGAACTTGTGAACTGTGTTCTCCCACCTCCCTGAAGGCAGGGTCTTGAATTTTCTTCCCTCTGCACTTCAAATGCCAGGGACCCTCACCCTACTGAGAACTACAACATACCCTCGGAAGGGACCTTAATTCCTCTCAACAGAAAGGATCAAGCTCAGATTGGTTAGGGATGGCATAGGGAAGGAAAGCAACAATCAAGAATAGCTTTTCTTTTTAGTACTGGGGTTTTAACTCAGAGCCTTGCGCTTACTTGAGCCCCCATGTTATGCTTTAGAACCCTGTTCTGCTTTAGTTATTTTGCAGATATATTTTCGAACACCATCCTTCTATCTCTGTCCCCAGAGTAGCTGTGATTACAGGTGCACACCACCACACCTGGTCCCCAAGGCCATCTTTGGGATGAAGTGGTAGGGTCATTGAACACGGTGAGCAAGAACAGCAGGGTCCTTATGAGGTTCCTGGGGTGCTCAGTGGGCTGGCTGGGGGAAGCCCTTCAGCCCAAGCTAGTAAGGGGGATAGGGTCCTGGAGTGCAGAGAAAGGACCCAAACCCAGTGCTGCCCTCCTAGAAATGCTGTCTAGACTACAGTGGGAAGCAGTGGAAGCCAAAACAGCACTATAATTCAGGCCTAGGCTCAGGATCAAGCCCAGCCTAGAACAGAGTAAGTGTTCAATTAAGAAGAGCCACAGTCATCATTAGAAGTACATGGGATCCAGGACCTATTTCAAGCCCCTGGCCAGGGATGAGAGGGGCAGGCAGGCAGAAGGATGAAGCTGGGATTTGTGCAGGGGCTAAGGGATGATCACCTCCACCCTGAGCAGCAGCTGTGATCTCCCTCCCCTCCCCCACTGTGCTTTCTATAGGTCTGATCCATGCTATCGAGTGGTAGAAAATCAAAGTCCACAGTATTCTGTACCACCCATTTGTCCACCCTTTCGCTTAATTAACTCCAATCAGACAGCAAAGCAGCCCTTAGCAGACAGGAGGCTCCCCTCCTCTCACCCTCCCTTCAAAGCTAGCAACATCTCCCTCCTGCCCCTGTTTCTCCCTGCTTATCTGGGCCAATGCCCTTGGGCCAGTGAATCCAAGCCTCCCGTGTTGGTGTCAAGAGTCCTGAGGTCAGTGGAGGACCCTATGGAACTCACTGTTTCTGTTCCCAGCTTTACCTGAGGCTCCAGGGGAACTCACTCAGCATGGTTGGCAGCTCAGCGCTGTCATCCCTCTTTCCTGCTTTCTAGGCTCCCAGCTCTGCCTTGGGAGTAGTCACCACTTGTGCTGCACAGGGCCAAGGCTGGTGCTGCCCTCCCCTCCCAGAGACTTTTCCCTCCTCCCTGGTTTGGGCTTGAGCAGCTCAGGTCTGAGGGTAGGAACTTGTTTTCTCTGGAGCTGTCACTCTTGCTGTACCACTAGGGGAGGCCTTTGTCTCTTGCCTCAGTGCTCCAACTTGCAACATGGGAAGCACACCCTTTGCCATGTTCAGGCACAGTGACAGGAAGACCATCCAGGTAGTTGTCTCTCTAGATGAGGAAACTACTTGTGCCTTCATCCTGGACTTTCTAGCTTCCTACAGGAGGTACAAAGTTCCTGTGGTGCCAGGAGCCCATGGCTCACTCAGGCTGAGCTCTGAGGATTATGATTCAAGGCCAGCTAGATAGGAAAGTCTGTGAGGTTTTTATCTTCAATTAACCACCAAAAAGCTGGAAGTGGAGTTTTGGCTCAAGTGGTAGAGGCTTGACCAAAGAATGCTCAAAAAAAGCTAAAAAAAAAAAAAAAAAAGGCCCAGGGACAGTGTTCAGGCCTCAAGTTCAAGCTCCACGCGCGCGCGGGCACACACACACACACACACACACACACACACACACACACACACACACACACACACACACACACACAGAGTTCCTGTGGTTATAAGCCCCCAAGTGCATGGCATAGTTGCCCAGTTGAACTAAGATGACCTCTTTCCTTGACCCC